TTTATATATCTTATATTCTTACAAAAATATATATATATATATATATATATATATATATAATGCATATGCAATTATATCTTAATGACCATTATATCAAATTTTAAATTTATAATTATTAAAGAGATAATTTGTGTCCAAAATTTATTTATTTTTATCACATTTATCATAAATTTATATTATTACATTATTTAAATCGAAATAAAATAATTTGAATACTCATTAAATCACAACTTCCTGTTCAACCTTCATTCCAATTACATTTCAATTATTGAATTCTAAACCTCTCATTCTTTTGGTTCAATTCCAGTCTGATTTTCACAACATAAACCCAAACAACCCCGTGCGCGTTTGGGGCAACTTGTGCATGTCAGGATAAACAACTTATCTTAAAACACGACTCGCAGGTAGACCGCGGGGTTCGAACCGCAGTCTTCGTTTAGTATAAAAATGTAACCGCATCTTCAGATAAGCGGACAGAAGACGCGATCAGAACGGTATCGCGGCGTCCCCGCACTTATAAGCTGCCGCAAACAAGCCCTTAAGCTGCTGCTGCCTTTTTATGGTAGCGGCACGTTTTAAAAGCCAGCTTTGCTTGGGCAGATTTCTGAGCAGAAAATGTCTTTATGAAAGGGTTTTAATGCTAAAAAAAATTTAAAACGTAAGTTATAACAGATCATTCACCAAACAAAAAGCTCCCAGCAACTTCACTTCAGAAAAGGGAAAAAAAGTGCAGATTAATTTATCTGTACAGCATTTAAATTGGAAGAACCAACATACTCCTAACAATTTGAAGGGTCTACATATGCTGAAACAACAAACAATCCCAAACTGAGTATTGCAGTTTATATACATAAATTACAAAATGAAAACACTAAAAATAAGACTAATAATGCATAAATTGTCATAGAAATTATGATTAATAAAAATTATTAAGGTAGTGGCCGAAATTTCTTCAACTTGGGAACCTTGAAATCAGAATGGAACAATGAAGGTTTCACATCTGCTGGTGAAAAATAAGTCCTCTTTTTCTCAGTCAAATTTTGTTGGGGTTTCTGATAAAAAAACAAGACATCAAATTTCAAATTTGTTAGAAAGAAGTTTCATGTAATGTTGCAGTTAACATGCTGCAAGCACGAAGAGCACTGCAAAAGTTAATAGACAAACTATTAATTAGCACAGATAACTTTAAAGAGCATTGACATAAATACCACACAATTCTCATCTATTACATGCCAGCACCTAAACTTTCATATTTTTACATGCACAGCACTAAATATTACAAACTTTTTAAAAGAGAAATACACCTTTTCATGCATAGGTTAATGAAACCAAAATTTTATAACTGTTGATATTGAACTGGGGACAATAAATATGTAAATACACAAGTATTGTGTGGTGTGTATGTGAATTTCCCCAAATTTAAACCTAAATAACATATAAGTTGAGTGAACCACACTTCTCTCCCAATCAATAGCAAAAGCAATTCCTGCCATTTAAGAGTTCACATTTCTCTTCCAGTCAACAGTAAGCATTGGATGCAGTTTAAAATTAAGAGTTGAATGAAGTAAAAAAACAGGTGTAATTCAGAAAAAAGGAATCTATTACAGTTACAAAAAAACTTCCAGCTAATAATGTTAGTTAAAATACTACAGGCACTAAAACAATGTAAAAATATAAATAAATATAACAGTGAAAATACATTGAAACGGGTGAAAGTAAACAAATGGCGGCTTTTCAGAAAAAGGCCCAACACAAAAAGAAAAGGCAAAGAGCTTTATCACTGCCTTGAGCATGTTTTAATCAATGAAAATTTTCAAAAAAGCAAATGGAAGTCATCTATTACGTACACTTCAATGTCTGACCTGCATGAAATGAAGATAAAGTGGATGCGCTTAACAAATTGGGCTCAACAACAGCTGGCAAAGATCAGGCCCAGTGTGGACTCGCCAGTTGTGTTCAAGATGTCTACCCTTCGGTAGCAAGGAGACTCGCATGGTTATTTGGTCAGCGCACCCGCCCCGCAATCTTACACGTCTGCTCTAACTCCGGCGCACACGCGCCGTGTTCAGCGCACCCGCACCCACCATAAAGAACATGTGCTCCTGGCAGCACATTTGCGTGCTCTTATTTGCCCAACACGTGGATGCGTCATAGATGTGGCGCACCGCGTGAGCTTCACGGTGCACCCACGCCCATCCGCTGGAACTAATTTAGCAAGAATGTTAATTACATTTGCCAAGCCCTGCCTATATATTTACTCATGAGGCCGGTTTTAGCAGATCTTGAGCAGCTGAAGGCTATAAGAGATGTAAGATTTTTAGAGAACTCCCTCTAAGCAGGTCCTGCTTTTGTAGAGAGAACAAACCTTTGTTGCATGTTTTATTTTTGTTTAGCGCTTGCAATAAATATCTGCATAGAGTTTGTGTTTATGATTTTCTCGAGTATGCATGGCTAAATTTTTCATGCTCTGTGATGTTTTTCTTCGTGGTTATCCGAGATGTTTTTCCCGTAACATTTTCTTGTGTTATCATGGTCCAACTTAAGAACTTAATTTACTCCTAGTCTGGTGAACTAGAATGTTAAAATATTTCGTGAAGATAGGATCTCTAACATTTGTGTAATAGAAACGAAAAGTTAACCATAGAATTTTGAGAGAATTGACATATTCCAATGGAATTCTTCAATCAATACTGGGGATCGAAAAAGTTACGAAATGTCATTGGAACTTAGGAAACCTCAACTTCATGAATTATAGCCTTTTTTGAAATAGACACAGGCAAAATAGTATCATATCCTCGATTGACAACAATCACGATAGAGAAACATTTAGGAAAGTTACAATCACCATAATCCCCGAATCACAGAGACACGAGCTTCATCAATCTTAAAGGAACTCTTGAGACGTAAGGAAACACTTAGGAAAGTTACAATTACCATGACCCCCGAATCATAGAGACAAGAGCCTCATCAATCTTAAAGGAACTCTTGAGATTTATTGTGCTTCATCTTTTTTATTTTGCTTGTGATCTATTTCATTTTTATTAGGTTCAAAATTCAAAACCTTCTTTCTGATACCATCAAACTAGATTAAACAGATTCGTAGGCTAAAGATTTTCTGCTGAAATAATTGTTACACTTTCCAAGTGGTATTGATATGCGGTACTCTTTAACCATATTACTACTTAATATGTGCACTTGTGTTGTACGGTCACTTCATGGTAAGTTTCGGCGCATCAAATTTTTGGCTCCGTTGTCGGGAAAATTAATAATTATTTCTGCTATTAAGAAAACTTCAGTTGAAAAACCTATGATCTAAGTTTGGCACTTCTATTTTCTTGTTTTTATTTTGTGTTTTTATTGTTGTTGTTGCATCTGTATTTCTTTGCAGACACTGAAAAAATAAAAAGCTAAAAAAAATCAAAAAGCCAAAAGGCCTAAAAAATAATTTGATGTAATTTATTTTCCACTTCTTTTCTGCCTTTTGCATACTGTGTCGCATTTGCATGCTACTTTGTTATCTAACTTGTGTAGGTCAAAGTGTTTGGTTACTGCAAGAATTTAAATATCCGTTTATGCAAAGAGGGGCGTAGGGTGATCTCACCCGTTTCGACCCTGAGATCAAATGCACTCTTAGACGTCTAAGGAGGTCAGACTAGTTTTCTGAAACCCTTGTTAAGATAGCTTTCTTAGCAGGGGTCAGACTAGTTTTCTTAGACGTCTACTTTGTTACCTAACTTGTATGGGTCAAAGTGTTTGGTTACTGCATGAATTTAAATATCCGTTTATGCAGAGAGGGGCTTATAGGGTGCACTCATTTAAATATCCGTTTATGCAGAGAGGGGCTTAGGGAATTTAAATATCCGTTTGGTCTCACTCATTTCAACCCTGAGATCAAATGCACTCTTAGACGTCTTAGGAGGTCAAACTAGTTTTATGAAACCCCTGTTAAGATAGCTAACCCTAACACCCCCACCTTGAAATCACTTAGGGAGTATATAAATCCTTCTGTTGAGAAAATCCACATGAGCATAAATTACCCACCTGTTGAAGCCAATACCTTTGAATTGCAACCAGTCATAATCCAGATGGTTCAAAATAACCAATTTGGGGTACTTTCCACTGAAGATCCCAACCTTCATTTAGCTAATTTCCTTGACCTATGAGCCACCTTCCGATATAACAGTGTCCCTAACGATACCGTTAGACAGGCTTTTTTCCTTTTCTCTGAGGGAAAAGCCTAAGGTAAGAATTATTTCCCTTTCACGACCTAGAATGACTTAGTCCAAAAATTCCTAGCTAAACACTTCCCTCCATCCAAAACTGCAAAACTTATGAATGACAACACCTCATTTAACCAAGTTGATGAGGATTTCATTTATGAGACATGAGAGAGATTTAAGGATTTAGGAGGTTCTCACATCACGTCTTATCTGATCGGTTGATCATTCAAACTTTTTACAACATATTAGTAGGTTCCTTGAGATCCATTATATAAACTATCGCAGAAGAGTCATTAATGTCCAAACCTTTTGATGAGGATTAATAATTGATAAAAGAAATGACCACAAAAAATTTCTAATGTCTAGTCGAAAGATTTACACCCCAGAAGGTAGCAAGTGTGTACAAATCAAACATGTCAGCTAACTCAGCGACCCAAGTAGATGCTGCCTCTAGGAAGTTGGATAATTTGAGAATGAATCAGACGTAAGAAAGAGTCTAACGTGTCGCCCACCCAGGATTTCCAGGTAGCAAGCGTGCACAAATCAGACGTGTTAGTTGTCCTAGCAACCCAAGTAGTTTCTATCTCTAGAAAGTTAGATAAACTGAGGATGAATCCCACACCATGTTTTCTAGCCAATGATGGGTCAATGTACGGATCGGTGGCAGATTCTGGCATGGCAATCTTAAAATCTTTTAATGTCATAGGAAATCATGGCCATAACATCTATTCCAATACCTACAAACCAGGCAAGAGGAACCACCAAACTCTTTGAATAATAACAACCAGTAATGGGGGAACACTCAGAACAATCCAGGAGGTAGTCGGCCATCCTTAGGGCAATCATCCTCACAAGCAGTCATATCCACCTGGTTTCCAACCTAACTCCCAACCTGCCTAAAAGAAACCACATATCGAGGAGTTAGTTATTCAAATAAGGGTTACCATACAGAGCCAAGTAGTAGCCATTAAAAATCTGGAAACTCAACAACTAGCGAAGTCAATGAACAAGAGACCCCCAGGTGCACTGCCCAGTAATACTGAGTATTGAGACCTCAAGGGGTGATTTTTTCCTTCATGTTTCTGGTGAGTTCTAGAGAGACTTGCTATATAAAAGGGTGAGGTGCTGCTTTTGTGGAGAGAACAAGCCTTAGTTGTAAGTTTTACATTCGTTTATCTCTTGCAATGAAGATCTGCATGGATATTGTGTCTGTGGTTTTCTCGACTATGCGTAGCTAAACTTTTCTTTATGTCTCTGTGATGTAGGAGTAGTAGTTTTCTTCATGGCTTTCCGAGATGTTTTTCCCATAACGTTTTCTTGTATTTTCATGGCCTATGTTATTGGTTAACCTAAGAACTTAATTTTCTCTTAATCTGACTAACTAGGATATTAAAATATTTTGTGAAGCTACGACCTCTACCATTGCGTAGTAGAAACAAATGGTTAACTGTAAAATTTCGAGATAATAGACAAATTCTAGAGGAATTCTGCAATCATTCCTAGGGATCGGAAAAGTCGTGTGGAATGTCATGGGGACTGAAGAAGCCTCAACTTCATGGATTTTAGGCTTCTTTTGACCTGTGCATAAGTATAAGGAGTATCAGATCCCTATTTGACAACAATTACGTAAGGAAACACTTAGAAAAACTACGATCACCACGATCTCCGAATCACGAAGGCACGAGCCTCATCACTCTTGAGGAAACTCTTGAGTTTTCTTTCGCTTTCTCTGTTTTATTTTGCTTGCGATCTATTTTGCTTTTATAAAACTCAGAATTCAAAACCTTCTTTGTGATACCGCCAAGCTAGGTTCACCCGATTCGTAAACTAAA